GGATGGGGAGAACCCACACGTTGTGGGCGACTGTGTCAAGGTGGGTCTTAAGTGGGATAGTATGGGCTGTTGCTGGCTGGGCTGGTGGATGAGGGAAGCTGCACTGGTGCTTGAGTGTGAAGGTGACTAGACGCCCCCACCCCAACAGCTGCAGTCGGGGCACACGGAGTTTGAGGATGGGGAGAACCCACACGTTGTGGGCGACTGTGTCAAGGTGGGCCTTAAGTGGGATGTTATGGACTGTTGCTGGCTGGGCTTGTGGATAAGTGAAGCTGCGCTGGTGCTTGAGTGTGAAGGTGAGCAGACGCCCCCACCCCAGCAGCAGCAGGAGGGGCACACGGAGTTTGAGGATGGGGAGAACCCACACGTTGTGGGCGACTGTGTCAAGGTGGGCCTTAAGTGGGATGTTATGGACTGTTGCTGGCTGGGCTTGTGGATAAGTGAAGCTGCGCTGGTGCTTGAGTGTGAAGGTGAGCAGACGCCCCCACCCCAGCAGCAGCAGGAGGGGCACACGGAGTTTGAGGATGGGGAGAACCCACACGTTGTGGGCGACTGTGTCAAGGTGGGCCTTAAGTGGGATGTTATGGACTGTTGCTGGCTGGGCTTGTGGATAAGTGAAGCTGCGCTGGTGCTTGAGTGTGAAGGTGAGCAGACGCCCCCACCCCAGCAGCAGCAGGAGGGGCACACGGAGTTTGAGGATGGGGAGAACCCACACGTTGTGGGCGACTGTGTCAAGGTGGGCCTTAAGTGGGATGTTATGGACTGTTGCTGGCTGGGCTTGTGGATAAGTGAAGCTGCGCTGGTGCTTGAGTGTGAAGGTGAGCAGACGCCCCCACCCCAGCAGCAGCAGGAGGGGCACACGGAGTTTGAGGATGGGGAGAACCCACACGTTGTGGGCGACTGTGTCAAGGTGGGCCTTAAGTGGGATGTTATGGACTGTTGCTGGCTGGGCTTGTGGATAAGTGAAGCTGCGCTGGTGCTTGAGTGTGAAGGTGAGCAGACGCCCCCACCCCAGCAGCAGCAGGAGGGGCACACGGAGTTTGAGGATGGGGAGAACCCACACGTTGTGGGCGACTGTGTCAAGGTGGGCCTTAAGTGGGATGTTATGGACTGTTGCTGGCTGGGCTTGTGGATAAGTGAAGCTGCGCTGGTGCTTGAGTGTGAAGGTGAGCAGACGCCCCCACCCCAGCAGCAGCAGGAGGGGCACACGGAGTTTGAGGATGGGGAGAACCCACACGTTGTGGGCGACTGTGTCAAGGTGGGCCTTAAGTGGGATGTTATGGACTGTTGCTGGCTGGGCTTGTGGATAAGTGAAGCTGCGCTGGTGCTTGAGTGTGAAGGTGAGCAGACGCCCCCACCCCAGCAGCAGCAGGAGGGGCACACGGAGTTTGAGGATGGGGAGAACCCACACGTTGTGGGCGACTGTGTCAAGGTGGGCCTTAAGTGGGATGTTATGGACTGTTGCTGGCTGGGCTTGTGGATAAGTGAAGCTGCGCTGGTGCTTGAGTGTGAAGGTGAGCAGACGCCCCCACCCCAGCAGCAGCAGGAGGGGCACACGGAGTTTGAGGATGGGGAGAACCCACACGTTGTGGGCGACTGTGTCAAGGTGGGCCTTAAGTGGGATGTTATGGACTGTTGCTGGCTGGGCTTGTGGATAAGTGAAGCTGCGCTGGTGCTTGAGTGTGAAGGTGAGCAGACGCCCCCACCCCAGCAGCAGCAGGAGGGGCACACGGAGTTTGAGGATGGGGAGAACCCACACGTTGTGGGCGACTGTGTCAAGGTGGGCCTTAAGTGGGATGTTATGGACTGTTGCTGGCTGGGCTTGTGGATAAGTGAAGCTGCACTGGTGCTTGAGTGTGAAGGTGAGCAGACGCCCCCACCCCAGCAGCAGCAGGAGGGGCACACGGAGTTTGAGGATGGGGAGAACCCACACGTTGTGGGCGACTGTGTCAAGGTGGGCCTTAAGTGGGATGTTATGGACTGTTGCTGGCTGGGCTTGTGGATAAGTGAAGCTGCGCTGGTGCTTGAGTGTGAAGGTGAGCAGACGCCCCCACCCCAGCAGCAGCAGGAGGGGCACACGGAGTTTGAGGATGGGGAGAACCCACACGTTGTGGGCGACTGTGTCAAGGTGGGCCTTAAGTGGGATGTTATGGACTGTTGCTGGCTGGGCTTGTGGATAAGTGAAGCTGCGCTGGTGCTTGAGTGTGAAGGTGAGCAGACGCCCCCACCCCAGCAGCAGCAGGAGGGGCACACGGAGTTTGAGGATGGGGAGAACCCACACGTTGTGGGCGACTGTGTCAAGGTGGGCCTTAAGTGGGATGTTATGGACTGTTGCTGGCTGGGCTTGTGGATAAGTGAAGCTGCGCTGGTGCTTGAGTGTGAAGGTGAGCAGACGCCCCCACCCCAGCAGCAGCAGGAGGGGCACACGGAGTTTGAGGATGGGGAGAACCCACACGTTGTGGGCGACTGTGTCAAGGTGGGTCTTAAGTGGGATAGTATGGGCTGTTGCTGGCTGGGCTGGTGGATGAGGGAAGCTGCACTGGTGCTTGAGTGTGAAGGTGACTAGACGCCCCCACCCCAACAGCTGCAGTCGGGGCACACGGAGTTTGAGGATGGGGAGAACCCACACGTTGTGGGCGACTGTGTCAAGGTGGGCCTTAAGTGGGATGTTATGGACTGTTGCTGGCTGGGCTTGTGGATAAGTGAAGCTGCGCTGGTGCTTGAGTGTGAAGGTGAGCAGACGCCCCCACCCCAGCAGCAGCAGGAGGGGCACACGGAGTTTGAGGATGGGGAGAACCCACACGTTGTGGGCGACTGTGTCAAGGTGGGCCTTAAGTGGGATGTTATGGACTGTTGCTGGCTGGGCTTGTGGATAAGTGAAGCTGCGCTGGTGCTTGAGTGTGAAGGTGAGCAGACGCCCCCACCCCAGCAGCAGCAGGAGGGGCACACGGAGTTTGAGGATGGGGAGAACCCACACGTTGTGGGCGACTGTGTCAAGGTGGGCCTTAAGTGGGATGTTATGGACTGTTGCTGGCTGGGCTTGTGGATAAGTGAAGCTGCGCTGGTGCTTGAGTGTGAAGGTGAGCAGACGCCCCCACCCCAGCAGCAGCAGGAGGGGCACACGGAGTTTGAGGATGGGGAGAACCCACACGTTGTGGGCGACTGTGTCAAGGTGGGCCTTAAGTGGGATGTTATGGACTGTTGCTGGCTGGGCTTGTGGATAAGTGAAGCTGCGCTGGTGCTTGAGTGTGAAGGTGAGCAGACGCCCCCACCCCAGCAGCAGCAGGAGGGGCACACGGAGTTTGAGGATGGGGAGAACCCACACGTTGTGGGCGACTGTGTCAAGGTGGGCCTTAAGTGGGATGTTATGGACTGTTGCTGGCTGGGCTTGTGGATAAGTGAAGCTGCGCTGGTGCTTGAGTGTGAAGGTGAGCAGACGCCCCCACCCCAGCAGCAGCAGGAGGGGCACACGGAGTTTGAGGATGGGGAGAACCCACACGTTGTGGGCGACTGTGTCAAGGTGGGCCTTAAGTGGGATGTTATGGACTGTTGCTGGCTGGGCTTGTGGATAAGTGAAGCTGCGCTGGTGCTTGAGTGTGAAGGTGAGCAGACGCCCCCACCCCAGCAGCAGCAGGAGGGGCACACGGAGTTTGAGGATGGGGAGAACCCACACGTTGTGGGCGACTGTGTCAAGGTGGGCCTTAAGTGGGATGTTATGGACTGTTGCTGGCTGGGCTTGTGGATAAGTGAAGCTGCGCTGGTGCTTGAGTGTGAAGGTGAGCAGACGCCCCCACCCCAGCAGCAGCAGGAGGGGCACACGGAGTTTGAGGATGGGGAGAACCCACACGTTGTGGGCGACTGTGTCAAGGTGGGCCTTAAGTGGGATGTTATGGACTGTTGCTGGCTGGGCTTGTGGATAAGTGAAGCTGCGCTGGTGCTTGAGTGTGAAGGTGAGCAGACGCCCCCACCCCAGCAGCAGCAGGAGGGGCACACGGAGTTTGAGGATGGGGAGAACCCACACGTTGTGGGCGACTGTGTCAAGGTGGGCCTTAAGTGGGATGTTATGGACTGTTGCTGGCTGGGCTTGTGGATAAGTGAAGCTGCGCTGGTGCTTGAGTGTGAAGGTGAGCAGACGCCCCCACCCCAGCAGCAGCAGGAGGGGCACACGGAGTTTGAGGATGGGGAGAACCCACACGTTGTGGGCGACTGTGTCAAGGTGGGCCTTAAGTGGGATGTTATGGACTGTTGCTGGCTGGGCTTGTGGATAAGTGAAGCTGCGCTGGTGCTTGAGTGTGAAGGTGAGCAGACGCCCCCACCCCAGCAGCAGCAGGAGGGGCACACGGAGTTTGAGGATGGGGAGAACCCACACGTTGTGGGCGACTGTGTCAAGGTGGGCCTTAAGTGGGATGTTATGGACTGTTGCTGGCTGGGCTTGTGGATAAGTGAAGCTGCGCTGGTGCTTGAGTGTGAAGGTGAGCAGACGCCCCCACCCCAGCAGCAGCAGGAGGGGCACACGGAGTTTGAGGATGGGGAGAACCCACACGTTGTGGGCGACTGTGTCAAGGTGGGCCTTAAGTGGGATGTTATGGACTGTTGCTGGCTGGGCTTGTGGATAAGTGAAGCTGCGCTGGTGCTTGAGTGTGAAGGTGAGCAGACGCCCCCACCCCAGCAGCAGCAGGAGGGGCACACGGAGTTTGAGGATGGGGAGAACCCACACGTTGTGGGCGACTGTGTCAAGGTGGGTTACCCGTTACTTAAATGCCATGGGCTGTTACTTAAATGCCTGGTTACTCGGACTTTCTTTTCACCCCCTCCCACTCCCCCCCGCCCTCCCCTTCCCCCCTCCCAACCCCCCCTCTCCTTTTTCTCATTCGAGTCGAGTAAAAAAATCCCCTCTTCTCGTCGTCATCCTGCTCTAGAGAGCCTCCTCTCCTTTCCCTTCCTAACCTCCCAACCCTCATCCCTCAATCCCCTCCCCCTCCATGCATGAACATCCCCAGCTTGTCCTGCGGGAGTTGCCAACGTCCCCTGTGCTCCCATATGCCTGCACCGCCCTCGACCAAGCCTTCCGTAAGCCCCTTGCCTTGCTCCCTCAAAATCCATGACTGCCTTTGCCTGTAACGCTTTCCCCAAATCTGTTGTCTTGCCTACAGTTCCTTCTTACTGTTGACATTTGCCCATCCGAACCTTCCCCCCCAACCCTACCCCACTACTCACATCCTCCCCTCTACCCTCCACACAACTCCTCACCACTACCCATCTCACCACTCCTCCGCCACCTTTCCCCACCACCCTCCCCCCCACCACCGTCTTCTCACCACCCTCCCCCACCACCATCTTCCCCCCCCCCCCCCCGAACCACGGCAGAGCTGGACGAGGCGGAGGCGAAGCTAGAGGCAGTGCGCAATGCCATGCCGAACCTGCCCCTAACCTTTCCCCACAACTCTCCTCCTCCTCCACACTACCCTTCCCAATACTCCTCCCCACCACCATCTCCCCCCACCCCACCACGGCAGAGCTGGACGAGGCGGAGGCGAAGCTAGAGGCAGTGCGCACTGCCATGCTCAACCTGCCCGAGCCCAACCGGCGCCTGCTGCACCGGTATGTGGGGGCTGTGGGGAGCTTGGGGGGGGCATGGGGAGTGTGGGATCATGGGGACATGGGAGGGAGGCATAAAGAGCTGGAGTGCTGTACGCACCGCCATGGTGACCTGCCCGAACCCAACCGACGCCTGCCAGAACCTCCCCTCCGCTCTCCTCGCTTCTCCTCCCCTCACCCCACAGTGTGCTGCAGACTATGATCGCTATAACCAACAACGAGTCAATCAACAGGATGAACGCCTCTGCCGTGACCCCCTCTGCCCTTTGCCTCTGCCCCTTCCCTCTGCCCTGTCCCTCTGCCCTGTCCCTCTGCCCTGTCCCTCTGCGTACACTCCCCTCCGCACCCCACAGTGTGCTGCAGACCATGATCGCCATAACCAACAACGAGTCAATCAACAGGATGAACGCCTCTGCCGTCGCAGCCTGCATGGCGCCGCTCCTCTTCCGCCCTCTTTTCAGCGGGGAACTTCAAGCATCGGGCGATGAGGATGGGGAGGACGGTGCAGCTGCGGCTGCGGCTCAGATCATGGCCCTCACCATGGCAGCCAACCAGGCGCAGACCATGACGATTTACCTCATGGAGAATATCGATAAGGTGTTCGTGGTGAGTGCTTGCTCTGTGGTGTTCATGCCGCCACTGCCACTGCCGCTGCTGCTGCTGCTGCTGCTGCTGCTGCCGCCGCCGCCGCCGCCGCCGCCGCCGCCGCCGCTGCTGCTGCCGCCGCCGCCGCCGCCGCCGCCGCCGCTGCTGCTGCTGCTGCTGCTGCTCCATGACCATTTACCTCATGGAGAATATTGACAAGGTGTTTGTGGTGAGTATTAATATCAAGTCTTGATAAGGTGAATGCTACTTGATTGAACATTGAATGGATGTGGTGCGGGGAACGGAATGGGGAGCATGCCGCCACTTTTTCTGGCTGCAGCAGCTGCTCAGATCATGGCTCGTACCATGGCTGCAAGCAAACCAGGCTCAGACCATGACCATCTATCTCATGGAGAACATTGATAAGGTGTTTGTGGTGAGTGCTTGCTGCCTGGTGTTTCTGGGGAGTGCTGCGTGGTGACGAGGAGGGCGAGCTGGTGGACGATGATGTGATGACAATGGTGTGCTCACCAGCCCTCTCTTCCTCACTCCCTAATCTACCTCAAATTCTGTCTCCCACCCCACCCCATACCACCCCACCCCACCCCACCCGACTCCACCGCACCCTAGGGCGAGGCTCTGGGGCGTGGGCTTGCACGGGGAGTGTACAGCGGGGCAGCGTGGGACGATGAAGATGATGAGGAGGGCGAGCTGGTGGACGATGATAGTGGTGCTGGTGTGCCTACCAGCCCTCTATTCCTCACCCTCTGCTCTACCTCAAATTCCATCTCCCACCCCACCCCATTCCACCCCATTCCACCCCACCCCACCCCATTCCACCCCATTCCACCCCATCCCACCCCATTCCAGGGCGAGGCTCTAGGCCGTGGGCTCGCAAGGGACGTTTACAGGGCAGCGTGGGACGACGAGGATGACGAGGAGGGCGAGCTGGTGGACGATGATGATGACAAGACGGTTCTCCCACTTCTCATTTTCTTTTGTCTCCCCACAAACTTCCTCCCCAATTCTTCCCTCCCAGGGCGAGGCTCTAGGTCGTGGGCTTGCACGGGGTGTATACAGCGGGGCGGCATGGGACGACGAGGATGACGAGGAGGGCGAGCTGGTGGACGATGATGACGTGGACGAGGACAACGATGACGAGGACAGCGGCGCCCAGGTGGCGGTGCTGGAGGCGTCGCGTCAGGAGCTGCGCGCCTCGCTGGCCAAGGAAGTGCGGGCGAACGAGATGCTCAAGGAGAGCTTGGTGCAGAGGAGGAAGACGCTGCAGGAGCTGAGGAACGCCCTTCAGAGAGACGTGAGTGCACTCAGGGGAGGTGCTGTGTTGTGTGCGAGTTGAAGGTTGAGGAAGGGGAAGAGAACAGGGTGGGTGGATATCATTAAGGAAGTGCTGGCGAACGAGATGCTCAAGGAGAGTCTGGTGCAGAGGAGGAAGACGCTGCAGGAGCTGAAGAACGCCCTTCAGAGAGATGTGAGTGTCGTGGGTGTGAATGATGGGTGGAGCTGGCTTGGCTGCCAGGGGAAAGGAGCTGCTATGCTGGGTGCAACTGTCAGATCAAGGAGGGGACAGGATGGCCCAGGCTCACTGGTTAAGGAAGTGCGGGGAAACGAGATGGCCTATGGACGATGGCTCACACGACAGTATACTCCCTTAACGCTTACCCCCTCCCTCTTCCACCCCTTTCCCCCGCCTTTTCCTCGCCTTCCCCTTTTGTCTTTCCCAAGCGGCTCAGCTGCGGCTGGATCTGCAGGAGCAGAGGGAGCTGTATGCGCGCATGCAGACAGCAGACGGGCATCATTCATCTCTGCTACTCCTGACCTCCTTTTCCTCCTCCCTTCCCTGTTTGTTTCCTCTCTCCCCTGCTTGCTCCCCTCTCTCCCCTGTTTGTCCTCCAGGCGGCTCAGCTGCGGCTGGATCTGCAGGAGCAGAGGGAGCTGTATGCGCGCATGCAGACGGGCATCATTCATCTCTGCTACTCCTGACATCCTTTTCCTCCTCTCTCCCCTGTTTGTTTCCCCTCCCCCCTACTTGTTCCCCTCTCTCCCGTAATTGTCCTCCAGGCGGCTCAGCTGCGGCTGGATCTGCAGGAGCAGAGGGAGCTGTATGCGCGCATGCAGAGGTTAGGCAATCTTTCTGGCACCTCTGACCCTAAAACCCAGTAACAGTCGTAACCTCTTCTACTCTCACACACCCCCCTTACCGCAAACCCCCAGGCGGCGCAGCTGCGGCTGGATCTGCAGGAGCAGAGGGAGCTGTTTGCACGCATGCAGACAGCAGACGGGCATCATTCAACTCTGCTACTCCTGACCTCCTTTTCCTCCTCCCTCCCCTACTTGTTCTCCTCTCATCCCTGTTTGTTCTCCAGGCGGCTCAGCTGCGGCTGGACCTGCAGGAGCAGAGGGAGCTGTATGCGCGCATGCAGACGGGCATCAAGGGGCCTGTGCCTGAGATAGAGCTCGAGCCAGAGGTGAGTGTGAGGTGGGGTGGGGTGGGGTATTATGCATGTCTTGTGCCTCGTGAGCTGTATGCACGCATGCAGACGGGCATCAAGGGGCCCGTGCCTGAGATAGAGCTCGAGCCCGAGGTGAGCGTTAGGTGGGCTCAAGGGTGACTTGTGAGTTGACTTATCAGCTGTATGCACGCATGCAGACGGGCATCAAGGGGCCTGTGCCCGAGATAGAGCTCGAGCCGGAGGTGAGTGTGAGGTGCGGTGGGGTGGGGTGGGTGGAATGGGGTGGGGTGGGTTGGGTGGGGTGGGGTGGGGTGGGGTGGGGTGGGGTGGGGTGGGGTGGGGTGGGGTGGGGTGGGGTGGGGTGGGGTGGGGTGGGGTGGGGTGGGGTGGGATGGGGTTGGGATTGTGAGTCGACTCAAAAGCTGTATGCACGCATGCAGACGGGCATCAAGGGACCCGTGCCTGAGATAGAGCTCGAGCCAGAGGTGAGTGTGCCGGGGGGTGGCTTGCAGAAGTAAGGTATGTGATTATTGCAGGCAGCAGAAGCAAGTCGATTCTGCGAGGAAAATCTATGGCCCTCCCGTCCCGGCCCCCTCGTCCACACCCATCCCTTGCCGTTGCCCATTCTCGTTTTCCCTTCCCATCCTTCTACTCTTCCGCCCCCTTCTCCCTCTCCCATGTCTGCCCTCTGTCCCCTTCTTCTCCCCCCACCCCACCCCCCTTGCTCTCCCTTCACCCCTTCACCTTGCTCTCCCAGCTGAAGGCGGAGTTAAAGGAGATAGAGTCACTGGAGAAATCAGTGGCCCTGCTTCACACCCTTTGATAAGACGCCTAAAAAAACTCTCTCTCCTCACCCCACGCCCTCCCCATCCTCCCCCATCCGTTGCAGCTGAAGGCAGAGCTGAAGGAGATAGAGTCACTGGAGAAGTCAGTGGCCCTGCTTCGCACGGAAACAGAGACTCTGCAGCGGGAGTTGCTGCACGTGACGCACAAGCAGCAGCAGCTGGAGCAGCAGCAGAAGCAGCAGCAGCTGGCGGGGGTGGCAGCAGGCGGGGGAGTGGGGGGAGCGCCCCTGACAGGGGCGAGTGCGGAGCAGTGGCAGCGGATTGAGGCGCTGCGGTCTCTGAGGGCGCAGCTGAAACAGGAGCTGGATAGGACCATGGCCATGTGCCTGGAGGAGCAGCAGAAGAACGCTGAGGTGAGTTATAGGAAGGGGGGGAAGAGACGAGGGAGGGGGGAGCAGGGGGGAGGTGAGTGATAAGGAGCAGCGGATTGAGGCGCTGCGGTCGCTGAGGGCGCAAGCAGGAGCTGGATAGAACCATGGCCATGTGTCTTGAGCAGCAGCAGAAGAATGCTGAGGTGAGTGATGATGAGGGCGGGGAGGAGGTGGGGGAAAGGGGTGTTGTTGTTCCTTTAACGTCACCTCGCCACCACGGAGGTCAACGCCATCTGCAGTAGCTCGCATGTTGTCTTGCAGTTCATGCGGGGAATTGAAATTACAATTTTAATTCCAATTTGTCACGTGCGTTGAACTACACTATAGCGTGCGAGTGACTGGAAGTGGCGTTGACCCCCGTCGCCGCGAGGTGACGCCTTCCCTTGACTTTAAAATGAAATGAGAGTAGTCCTGGAGAATGCTACCAGAGAGCTGAATCCTTCCTTTAATATGATAGTATTCAACAAAGGGGGAACGAGTAATATGATAGTTTTCAAGCACCTTCAGCACGCCTTGTTTTTAGAGAATGGGCTCTTGTCCCATGCTGTTTTCCGTCCCCACTTTATCATCCGCCCATCAGGTGGGGGAGAGGCAATGACAGGAGGGCCCCCCAGCCCAGCCACCTCCAGGTCCTCTGTTTCCTTTCTGATACCCCCACCTCCTCCTCCCTCTTCCTCTTCCTTCTCGTTCCCCCCTCTTACCCCCCTCAGCTGGAGGAGAGGCGGCGGCAGGACGACCCAGTGGCGTTGGAGCAAGCAGTGATGCGACAGAAGGCTGCCGTGCAGCAGGCGCAGGTGAGAGGGTCGGGGACAGTGTAGCAGGACTGGTCAGTACATCTTTCAAATAGGACTTTGTAAAAGTTCAGAGAGACATGCAGCATCTGGCCAGGGAGCAAGATCAGAAGCTCGTGGCAGCTCAGCAAAATTTCAAACAAAATCACTTGATTCCTTCTCTTCTTTCGGTTCGGACTCCTCTTTCTTGCAAACACTCCCTCCTCTTCCAATAACCGCCAGCTTCCCCAACCCCTCCTGTCTGGTCCCCAGTCAACTATTGCCTCCGCTGCGCAGGCTCTTATGTGCGTCTCCCCCCCTCCTCCCGGTACCCCCCCCTTCTCACCCCCTGTCTGTTCCTCTCCCGTCCCTCCCCACAGGCGGCATTTGAGGCGGAGATGGCAAGGGGCAAGGAGTTGAGGCGCAAGCTGCAGCTGGCCCAGCAGAGGGCTGCTGCTGCCGCCCTTGCCAGTGCCAACGCCGCTGCCACCGCCGCTGCAGCCACGGCCAGCACCGCAGGCTCGGGAGGCTCCGGCTCAACCGAACCTGCCGCCCACGCCGGGCAGCCAGGCTCGGCCGAGGCTGACGCCCGATCCGCACCTGATGGGGAGGCTCGTCCGGCAGGTCCGTCGGCCGCAGCTGCAGCAGCGGCAGCAGCAGCGGTGGCTGCAGCAGGGGGGGCTGGTGAACCTCCCTCAGCAGCGGCTGCTGCTGCTGCCTTTGCTGAGCTGACTGCCAGGCTGGAAGAATTCAAGAGGCAGCGCGCTGTGCTGATTCAGCGCCTCGCCGCGCTGTCCAATGAGACGGTGCCAGGTGGCCCACAGGGAATGGCTGGGGCTGGAGGGCCAAGGGTGCCTCAGTTGTCAAGGGATATCCCAAGTCACTGAACGGGGCTCAGGCAGGTAGTAGTGGGGGGGAATGGCAGCTACGAGGGGTGATGATGGGTGAGGTGAGGTGAGGGGAGTATTTGGGAATTGACGGCCGAGTCTGAGAATCACATTCTTTGCCGTACATGGAAGCCAGTAGGAGCAAAATGCAAGGAACGTAGCCGTTTCTTTACGAATCTGTCTGTAGATCAACTTTCATCCCCATTCCTAAAGCCTTAGGAGATTTCTAACTGGGTCATTACCACGCAAGTACTGTGTGAGGGTGTTATGGCAGTACTAGAATCCTCTTCCTGCAGCTGTGGATTCACTGTCTTGCCTTCAGCTGAATTCCTTATTTTCCTTTGTTCATACGTACTGTAACCCGTAGCTAAGTTTTCACCATTCATACTAACATTTCCGGTTCTTTCAGCATGCTTCCTTCACCATGAACCTTTTCACCAAGCTAATGTAATGAGTGCACAGCACATGCACCTTCATTTTGAACAAAATTTGTAAGGTTATCTAGCTGTGCTGTGTATATAGTCTCAAAACCTGAAACAGCTAGGAAGGAATTGGCCTGGGAAAGAGGCTGGTTTTGCCTTCTTGTTCAGCTCTTTCTAGTGAGGCTGTTTAGCATCACACTGAAAGTGCAGAGAAGCCTTTCAATAAATTAAAGAGGTTCTGCTAATGCCGACTTTATTCCATACAAAATCCACACAGCACATTCTTTTGGGTAAATAAATGTACAAAAATGAGAAATCTGTGCAGCACTTAGCGACCCTGAACAAACCATAATGGTACTTACTTGGCTAATTCCCCTTCAGCTCTAGAAACAAACTCCTACAAGACCGGTCCATTGAGGCCAACGCGGTATAGGAAGTCGAGGAACCCAGTAGCGGACAACAGGCCCTTGCCAGTGACAAGCTCGATCATCAGTAGACCCACGAAACCTGCCATTGCTGCTCGGCCGTTCAGCAACTCGTTCTGTGGTGAGAACCCGAATCCGCCTGCTGACTCATCCACCACCATCCTAGTCTGTGGTGGCAAGGAGGGAACATTGACAGCAGACAGAAGGTGTTAGAGGAAAGCGGGAGGATGATAAGGGAAGAAAGACGCTGATGCTGGATATAGTATTTTATGCCATCCAAATAACGCATTTCAGGCATTCAAGGTTCATTCTAGGAGTTGCAGGTGTGGACAACCGTTCATCTCTCTCTTCTCGTAAGGGATAACCAATCAGACGACATTATGTGACAGCACCTCGATCCGGTAAAAAAAAACACACCACGTGGGCAAAACAAGCACACCATGGAACATTTTCCTCACCTCATTAACATTGACGTCAGAGACCGTTTGGCCGACCCTGGAAGCCTCTCCCACCACCACCTCAGCAGCACCGGCGGAGCCGCGGCCCATGTTGATGCAGACCTGGTATTCCTCCAGCTTCACGGGGAAGACCTCCAGCCCGCGGAGAGGCTTGGTGAGCGCGCGCAGCACGGGGTTCTTGGGGTACCACTCCTTGATCTCGCCGGTTTTGAGATCGAATGTAGTGTCCGTTGAGGGACACACGATGCAGCCGTCCTGGAGGGAGAGGAGAGAGAGCGATAGAGAAGGGAGAGAGCGAGTTAGAGGGAGCGAGGCGTTTCAGTGACAAAAAACGTCCTGGTTTTGTCAACATGGACGGGTAGGGGACGAAGTGGATCGGACACGGAATTGAGTGGGAGGACACCTCAAAGTTCGTGCTCGCCTGCTTGCACTGGAAATCAACGCAACCAGATATATGGCGTGTAATATGCAGCGCGTGCTTATTTTCCTTGGTATGCGAATGAGATGAGAATGTGTGGTGGAGCACCGAGTTTAAAAGATGCCGTCACCCACCTGGGTAAACCTCGCGTTGAGAAATCCTTCCGAGTACGCTCCCTCAGCAGGCGAAACGTTCTCCACGGCGTAAATTTCGTTCCGGTACCAGAACAAAAGAATCTCCTGGCCGTCCTGTCTGATCAGTCGCCTCTCTCCCTTGGGAAGGGCCTCCATAGGGATTACCGGCACCCAGTTATCAGTGGACGCTGCTGCTGCTGTGACTTCTGTACCGGCAGCGGAGCATACGACCGACCTGGACTGAGACTGCGCAGATGTTGCCTGGAACGAGCACAGCGAGACGCCATTGCTCACTGACGCTCTGGTGGGTGAGAGTCTGGTGGTGGGAGCTCCTGTGAGGAAGGAAGAGGGGGTCAGTGCCTGACGAAGGGCGACGGACGAGGCCATGACTGTAGAAAGCGCCTTAAATCGAGGAGACAGTAGGTAATCCTGGAGATAAAAGAGTTACCCTGTTCAGACTAAAGCGCAGGTGAAAGTTGTTGGTAGAAAGCTTGGAAATTTGCCTCACGCTTTGCAATTGCAGGTCTGCTGGGGAAGATTTCGCATTTATGCTTCTGTGAATGGAAATGGCACTGATGGGAGCAGTAGAACTTGCACGCGAAGCTGGGAAAGAGGGGGGGAGTGTGTGAGTGAACCTTGGGATAATCCAGGTGGCCGAGAGATTGCCACGTCCAGTTCCCGCCAGCCGGTCGCTTCTGAGAGTTTGCGCGGGGATCCAAGTTCTAGACGGGGGTGTTTGGACCACGTCAGGGTGGATGCTCAATCTACGTGGCTGTAGCTCATTGCCCCACGTCGTTGCAGCCAGTTCATCTGAAGTAGCGTGATTGGCTGATAGTAGTTCAGAGAAGATGCCATATGGAGTCACCCGATGCAAAATCTTGAAATGTTTACCCTCTCATCCATTATACGGATCCCGTTTTTGCAGCGAGTACATTTTTATCGAGTGTTTTTGTGTGCTGCACCAAAATAGGATGACCATCCATCTGGTTACAAGGTATGAGAACCAAATTGGGGTTCGTTTTGTCGCCACATCTTGCCTAGGCTCATGACGAAATATTGCGAACAGCTCATGGGATGTCACATGTCCCTGAGCAGGAATCATATTGGAAACTGTCTGGTATGTTGCAGTCAGATACGAGGGCCGTGGAGCATGGTGTGCGTTCTAAATTTGAAGCACCAGCATTTCATCCTCAACGCAGTAAGGAACTAGGTACTAAGTTATCATGAGCGGTACCTATCACCGCCAGAAGCGCCGGCTCTAGTGTCCGCACCATGGCGACTAAGGCCGTGCGGGAGTCTTTTTAAGAACACAGAATTGTTCCAAAATATGCATATCCGCCATCCCCGCTATTGCGACTTAGGCCGTGTTCGTTTGTAGAACCAAGAACCTTTCGGTTATAAGCAGATTCGTTACCCCGTTATGGCGACTAAGGCCGTGCTCGACATCATGCAAGGCGTGCTGGTGTCGTTCGGCACGAGCATGGCGACGGCGACGAGGGAGGAGGAGCGCACGTGGTGGGCGGAAGACGCCACGTGGCGAGCGGAGGACCTGGACTGGCGGGGAGAGGAGAAGGCGGTTTACGAGGCGGAAGGCGATCGTAGGATACGAATGCGGAAGTTAGTTCCTTTCCTCTGAGTTAATCGGTCTGGTTCTTCTGTGTCCATCGTTTCAAGCGACCGCAGCCGTCCTCACTTCCTGCATCGGTTTCAAATATATTTTTTTCCTGTGGAATTGTAAATCCGAGTCGGCTTGAGGTTTCCTCAGCGTTCCCATTCCCTAAGCGTCTCGTTCTCGTATCCCGTCCCTTGCTCCTTATGCAGGTGGCACCAAGAGGATATTGACCAAATGAACCTGGAAAATGCGAGGGTATTATGGCTCAGGTAACACAGGTACTGCGCTACTGTGAGCATATATATTTCTTTAACAAGAATTCCACACCGTCAGGCTCGTTTGGGGAAAGTGACCTTGCTCCCGTTCCCCATCTATGCGAGCCCAGCCGTGAGATTTGTCAAGCGGAACCGGAGGAACGTGGGACTGGAGTAACCGTTAACTCGTTTCTCCCCATTCTATGTCATGCGATCAGGTTCGTTGAGAAGAATCGGCGTGACGTGGAGGAGAAGACGGAGCAGCTGAAGGCCATATCCAGCATCTCGGCTCTCTTTGGTCTCTGTGCCACAGTCACGCTTACCCAGCTCAGTCTGGATAAGGATGGAGAGCCTACCGCACCTACTGTAAGCAGATTTGATTGCTTATCCTCGACTCTCTGTAGGCAAAGTCCATGCACTTCAAATTTAATTCAACATTTTTTTCACACGAAGTTCTTATTTGCCGTGTGTGTAATTTTCTTCATGCAGGGCTTGATTGCTTTATATGCCCTCACAACAGCACTCGTGGTACGTGGTCTCGTGCCAATCCAATCATCTGGTGTCGGTTCCGCACTCCTCTCACTCATTCTACCCACTCACAACTGCCGGGCTTCCCATCACCATCGTCTCCCTCCTGTCTCAGTTTTTTTGTCCATATCGCTCTATCTGTAAGCTACCCGATTGTATCATGCATTTCATTTACCCAATTCTCTTCGACTCTCAGCCACCCGGTTCCTCTCCCACTCTTTGTGCACCCTCCCCTGCACCAACCCACCCTGCTCCTGTCTCACACCCTCCCTTTCCCCCTCTCCCTCAGGAGGGCCTTATGATAGTCTCGATGGTCACCTGCGCGCTGCTTCTAGGAAGCATCCTGAAGGTCGGCAAGACCTTTGTGAGCGAGCGGGAGGAGCAGGAGTTCATGGCGGCGTGCCTTCGCTTCTGCGCGCTCTACCAGCAAGGCGACCGCCCTCCCCACCCCCGCAAGTCCTTTGAGGCCTTCTGGGCTTCCAGGTAAGAGACCCTTTTAGAATTCATCAAGATCTCTCAGGAGGAGCAGGAGTTCATGGCGGCGTGCCTTCACTTCTGCGCACTCTACCAGAGGGGCGACCGCCCTCCCCACCCCCGCAAGTCCTTTGAGGCCTTCTGGGCTTCCAGGTAAGAGACCCTTTTAGAATTCATCAAGATCTCTCAGGAGGAGCAGGAGTTCATGGCGGCGTGCCTTCGCTTCTGCGCACTCTACCAGAGGGGCGACCGCCCTCCCCACCCCCGCAAGTCCTTTGAGACCTTCTGGGCTTCCAGGTAAGAGACCCTTTTAGAATTCATCAAGATCTCTCAGGAGGAGCAGGAGTTCAACGCGGCGTGCCTTCGCTTCTGCGCGCTCTACCAGAGAGGCGACCGCCCTCCCCACCCCCGCAAGTCCTTTGAGGCCTTCTGGGCTTCCAGGTGATTCTTGAGGGTAAGGGTGTGTGGTGAGACTTCGTGGGGGAATGCCCATTTGGATAGAGAATGCCAGGCTTTGTGCTGGCAGATATGTGCGTTTTGTTCAGCATTATGTCACTGACACATTTAATTCTTCCTGATTCTCATGCTTACTCAGGTGTGAGGGGAGCTGGCAACTTGCCTTTCAATGTTGCTGCTTGGGTAAGTTATGGACTCTGACGTCCTGGTACAATTTGTTGCTTATTGCACTGTCGGTGGTGGCAATATGAGGTGTATCAATTCTGATGTCCTTTTCTGTTCCACCTCGCAGGTGTGACTTCTTTTCTTGTTAGCATGATATCTGTTGGGTAAGTAACCAGGGATGGTCCTGGGTTCAGGTTGAAGTAGATGGGTTTGTGGCTGTAACCATTCTTGCACTGATTATTTGGCTCGTTTTCCTTGCAGGTGGATTGTTTTCATCCCGCATGAGATCACTCAGGTGTCGTTCGGCATTGCTGTCGCATTGGCCGTGTGCCTATGGTAGGCCATTGCATCTATTTTTCTCTTGCCACCAATCTACTTCGTTGTTCCATTTCGGTTACATCATTTCATGAGTTGCCATATTGATAATCTGTGGTTTCAGGACCTACGTTCAGTGGGCATGGGGAGCATATTGGAGAAGTAGCCGAAGAGCTAAGGAAAATGGTGATTTACAATATTCAAGGTCTATTTCTCAATCGTCTAGAACAGTGTTTTCATCGTCTCGTAGAAGCCTGCCAGCAATTAGTGCTCAACCTCCTGGCGGGTTTGCAGGTTTACCATTTGACTGGCATACTGCTCCTCACCACCTTCCACTATGAAATCATTCAGCGTTTGTCATACTCACTTATTTTCTAAGCTTAAAGCGCCATAAATAGCTGTAGGTAGTGCATGTGCAGTAAACCAGTTGGCCAAACTGTGTGAAACTGCCTTTTAGCGAAACTCAAGCATACCAATACGATTTTACGCAAGCAGTTTGCGGATCCCTTTTACCGGATACGAGAAACCTGACCGGCTGTCAGAACCTCCCGCGCGCTTTCAAAAGTTTCCCGCGCCCCGACATTGCCCCAGCCCCACTCACCACACCAGGCAAGCCAAATTGGCCCTGGGGAGAAGAATCTGACACATTGGCGTGGCGAGACAAGAGAACTGACATCCAACCATGAGAATTTGAAACATCAGGAAGAACAGACGTTCAGCGAAGGCAGGACAACAGGAAACGGAAGAGACGAAGTTGGAAGTCACATGAGAAGTACTGAATTATCCGTCACAGCAGTAGCAACAGCACCCACCAACTTCAGCAGACCCTTGATTCAGTTAGTCACGGAACGGCTAATCTTGAATCGCCTGATAGAGTAAGCTCTTACCGGAATTTCTACATACAAGGTAGTAGTAGAGCGACCAGGAAGCAGTATCAACAGGTTTCGAGCAAGTGGTTATACTCAAGCAAGTGGTTTATAGAGTGTCACGACTTGGGTGGGCTCGCGCGAAAGGAGCTATAGATTCATCAGTCAATAGACTGAACAGGATATCTCACCGACGCCATCTAGAGCCAAATACTTGCCCGTTCTCATGTTAAGCTATCCAGAAGTCACTGTTTAACACCATGGAGGCTCAATCGGTCCAGGCTGGCGGAAGCACACCGCTTCCTAGAAGAGTTATTAGCGAATCAGAAACACAAGTTCGAGTTGTCGCTAAAATTCGACCGCGCATTCCGTCTGACCAGCCGTGAAGGGTTCCAGGAGCGTATGGTGATAGAGCGTGAAGAGGACAGTGTGAACCTGAACTTCCCAGATCCCTGGTGAGGAAGCTTTATAAGTCGCTTTTTTCCGTTTAATTTTGCTTTTCCGTTTCTGGTTCTAACGGTGTTCTCGGTATAATTTGATAGCTTAACTCAACTGATTTTACTTTCCTGGTACAGGCCCGGAAAGAGCTTCAACCTTGATGCGCTGTACGACGAAACCGACAACAGCCGGACCATTTTCGGCAAAGAGATCGAACGACGCCTCTCATCACTCAGTGATGGCTACAGCCTGACGGTCCTGGTTTACGGTGCTTCCGGCAGCGGAAAAACCTACCTCATGCAGGTACGACCTGATTCTTCTGTGAACATTAAACAATATAGACGATCAGCATAACAACTTCTCGTGAATGTGTAAAACTTCACAAGTTATTAACTTTTCCCTGTTTCTCGTGGAGCAGGGAGATGGCGATGACGTTCCAGGGGTGGTATCCCTCTGCGCAGCCTGGATCGCAGCCAATCAGCTGGAGCGCGAAGGATACCAGGTGTCCTTCTCCTATTCCGAGCTGTACGGGAACAAGGTCTTTGACCTGCTTCATCCCCAGCAGCTCGAAATCATGGAAGACTCGGATCACGTTTTCCAAATTCCTGGTCTGCATGAGGTAAGCACAGATGAACTTACCGTTTCAGGTCATTGCGCACGATCAATCAAGAGCACCTGGCTGTTGCTTCCGTTTCACACGTAGCCGTTTTCTTTTCCCCCAAGTGCGAGACGGGCAAGATCTTTAGAGACTACCAAATGTACTCATTCTCTTCTGGTTCTCAACGTTGCAGGAAGAGTTCGGCTCGCTGGATTCGTTCCTCGCGGCGTTTTCAAGAGCCAAGGGGAGGCGTCACCTCGCGGCGACGGAGGTCAACGCCGTCTCCAGCCGCTCGCACGCCATTCTCCAGTTCAACGTATCGCGGGACGACAACCCTGGCATTGTCGGCCGCCTCAAGCTTGTGGACCTGGCAGGTGCGTCAACCGTGATGCATACGAGTTTATCGAGATATCCAACGAACCGTTTTTTATAAGCGTTTCCAGCTAGTGAGAACGAGAATGTGCCGTTATTACGAGCACTCACATGCTCCTCGCTTGATCAGTAAACGTCCTTCTGATGCAATCGTGGCATTCTACTGTCGTCTCGTTGCAGGTCGCGAGCAGAACAAGGAGACGGGTAACACAGGCCAGAGGATGACAGAGAGTTGCGACATTAACCTGTCGCTCTCGGCGCTCAGTCGAGTTATAGAGCAGCTCAATGACCCCGGTGCGAAGCACGTGTCGTACCGCGGAAGCAACCTCACCAAGGTCCTGCAGGACTCCCTTGGAGGCAGCAGCCGAGGAGTCATGATCGCCTGCCTGGTAACTGCTTCAATCCCGTTTCGTTACTTCCCTTGGAACTTACGGATTCTTTACACGTGCATCAGCTTCGACCATCTTGTCCTCGCCATACGCTACGTTGATGCGTTATTGAAGGATGGCATGTTGTTTTTCATGGTTTGTTGTATCAATTTTCGCTTTCCCTTTCCTGTCGACCCGCCAGGCTCCGAATGATGACAAGCTGGCGATGGCGGTCCTGGAGGTAGCGGCGCAGTCTCGCCTGATCCGCAACAACGTCACCAAGACCGTGCTGCCCGCTACCCCGAAGCAGACCGTGGCGGACCGGCGCTCCCAGCTCTCCGCGTTCAAGGCGAAGAAGGCCGCCAGCAAAGCAATCGTCCCGAGCAGCGCTGCTGGGTGAGTGCGCGTTTGAGCAAATTGAAGCATGGATGATTCTACGGCACAACAATGCTGACGCTGACGTGTCACATGAGAAAGACGTGTAGTTATTTCCCTTGAAACCACTGATTCTGATGGTTTGCAAGCTGGTTTTGTGTGTTCAGGCCGTCTTCTTTCAGTGCTCAAAAGGGTTACATCCCTTATCCTGCTCGAGTTCCACGAGAGGTAAACGGGGATTGTTGGGTTCGTGCATTTATGAGCTGGTGCATGGGTTGGTGCATTGTTTAATCATTACTTGGATCCTGAAACTCACGTGCTGTGTGCTCTGTCGTGCTCTCATGCGTGCAGCAACAAGTGGCTGGGGAACTTCACCGCATCCTGGACCCCACTCGCTTCAAGAGAAGCCCCATCAGAGCGACTTCCGCTGCCAACTCCACGCCCAGCCTCATCCCCCGGCCCCGCTCGTCGCTGCTCACCCGCCGTCCCGGCGACTTCCTGAAATATGCTGCAGAGGCACTGGAAAACGATCTAGCACAAGAGGAACCTGATTTTACAGCAGCGGCAGTGGCTGTGGCAGAGGCGGCATCAGCATCCGCGTCAGCGTCAGCGTCAGTGGGCGCTGGCGCAGAGAGGGGTGCGGGCGTGGGTGGGAGGAGGATGAGGATAGCGGAGAAGATGACTGCGAGCATGGCGGCGAAGATGGTCTCCGCATCTGAGGCTCGTCAGGCGCTCGCGTTGAAGCGCAGCATGGCCAAGCACCAGTCGCCCAAGAGGGCCGCCGCCGCCAGGCAGAGGGGGATGGTCAAGCAGTCAAGCTCCGTCTCCCACGCGAAGCCTGCAGGGAAAGCGGCGGCGCAGCCTTCTGGCAAGGTTGCGGGGAATGCTGCTGGGAAGGCTGGTGGGGAGGCTACTGAGAGGGCTGCCAGGATTCCTCAGCGCCAGGGGTCGTCGGGGACGGCTGCAGCAGCGGATGCTATTGTTCAGGCGGCTGCAAGCCGTGCAGCGGACGAGCTTCAGCGGCAGCGGTCGCATGATGGCGTCGTGGCTGCTGTGTCCGCTGCGGCAGCTGCAGCGAGCGTGGCGGCAGCAGCAGCGACGGCTGCAGGGAGTCCGCTTGCGCCGAATGCGCAGCAGGCGCATTTCCTCTTCATGGACACCCTGCGCCAGCATCGGGATGGCGGGGTGCTAGCTGCAGGGGTGGGGGGTGCGCCGGATGGGGCAGGGGCAGGCGCAGCAGAAGAGGACGGGGTTAGTGGTGAAAGTGGCGGGATGGAGGGGAGTGAGCAGGGCTCGGTGGAGAGTGGGGAAGCACTATCGTTTGCGGCTCCTGGAGGGAGGCTGAGTGACGGCGAAGTGGTGGGCGAGGGTGAGGGTGAAGTGGAGGGAGAGGACGAGGGCACGAGTGAGCGGGAGGGGGAGGTGACGCCGAGGAGGAAGCTGTGGGAATGCTACAGGGACAACGCCGCTGCTGCCTCTGACACGTTTGAAGCATCCACGTGCCATGACAGCTCGAACGGCAGCACCACTGGCAGCAGCTCGGGGTCGGGAGAGGAGGTGAGCACTGCCGACCAGGACAGTGCTGAGAGCAAGGAGGATGTGGAGACGGGACGGATGGAGCTGAACGAGGTGGTTACGGAGGAGGAGGAATGCCACGTGGCGGTTGAAGAAGATGACTTGAGTGACCAGGAACGAGGTGAGGGGATGGGGCAGGTGCAGGAGGAGGGGGGTGATGTGGTGGGCATTGAGGGTGCAGGTTGTGGGGAGACGAGCAGTGAGCAAGTTGAGGGCGGCGGGGAGGTTGAGGGGGAGGAGGAGGTTGATGGCGGCGTGGGGGTGGAGCCTGGGGAGGAAACGGAGAGTGGAGAGAAAGTTGAGGGTGCGGAGGAAGTAGAAGAAGGGTGTGTGGAGGAGGAAGAATTGGGCGATGGTGCTGGATGCGGGGCCGTCGCATTCTCCCTGGTTCCGGTGGCAGGGGAGAGCATAGCGGAGGAGGGTGAGGAGGAGCAGGGAGAGGGAGAGGGAGCGCAGGAGGAGAATGTGCAAGACCAGGGAGCGGAAGCGGGAGACCAGGTGCAGAACGCACAGGAGCAGGGCCATGGTCCGATACTAGTTTGTGGTAAGTCCTTCGATTTCAGCTCGTGCAATTTGGGCATGCTCCCTATACAATTTCACTTGAATCCAATTTAATTGTTCCGGGATTCTTTTCATGTGCAGGCTGTCGCAGAGGCTGAGCTCGTTCGGAAATTGAACACGGCAACCGAGTAAGTGCTCGGGAAGCAGATACTAGAAAACCACATATGCTGTTCCTTACTTTTCTTGTAAATGTCCAACATTCTGTTATGTGCTCCCGGCTACTAATGCATTCGTACATGTCTTCTCCCTCCCTTCTTCCCTCACTTCCTCCCTCCTTTCCTCCTTCCCTCCCTCACTCACTCTCTCACAACCTCCCTCCCTCTCTCCCTCTCTCCCTCCCTGCCTCCCTCCCTCACTCCCTCTCTCGCTCCTTCCCTCCATCCCTCCATCCCTCCCTCCCTCCCTCCCTCCCTCCCTCCCTCCCTCCCTCCCTCCCTCCCTCCCTCCCTCCCTCCCTCCCTCCCTCCCTCGCCACTCTTCATGTCTACTCTCGGAACCTTCTGGCACATGGGACACTTGTGGAACGCAGGGAGGAGCTAATGGAGATGAAGGTGAGACTGCCATTTGTTTCAGCAGTCAAAAAGGCTATTTTCTCGTACCACCTTCAGTGTAGCTGTTTCCAGGAGTAAGGGACTTCATTTTGAAAGCCTTCCTTTCCTTTTTCAGGGTATCGGTCCAAGGTTTGCATCAAGAATCCGTACCTTCCGCGATACTCCGGGCGCAGGAGCCACTCCATTTCAAGCAGTGAGTACTGCTTTTGCAAATCCCGCAAGGTTTTATTGTGCCCTGTTCCGTAAGCCTGGAACTACGCTTGCATGTATTGAACATCCATTCTTGACATGCCATCAAGCCCACCTTCAGAAATACTGGCTTGGTTTCACGTGGATTTGCCATTTGTGGTTAATGAAATTTTTGGATGATACTCTGAATATTCGCTCCCCTGTGTGCCCCGTGTCGCAGTTCACGGACCTCACTAGAGCAGGGATCAGCTCCAAGCTGGTAAGGCTTCAAAGTCCACACTCAAACAATTGAGCCTCAACTTTGAATGCTCTGTTGTGCCCTTTACTACTTCTTGCTACTGCCAAAGTAACTAACACCAACGCCCCGTTCATCCGCAGGCATTAAAAATTCGTGACGATAACGTCAAGAAGTTTATCCACTTCTGAGTTACTGGTCATGTCGGACAAAGCTCCTCGCTGGGTATGTCACAGATCTTCTTGGTGTCGTTGGTCAATGTCGTGATGACCACCATATATGCAATACCACCTACAGCAAAGTATGGATGTATACTCACTCCCAGTAGGATTATCTTATAGTGTGGAACCACTTAGTTTTTTTGCATTTTATTATAAGATCGTTGCAATAATTTGTGTGACACATGAGATAGAAGAGGTTGTGGGAATGGTACAAGAGCAAAAGAGACAATAATTTTACATATTGCTGTATTGACGTAGCACCACTGAGGAGAATTGTTATGAATGAACTTGCAGAGTGCGCAGAATAATGAATAACGAATAACGAGAATGAGAATTACTGAATGACTATACAAGGAAAATGGCACGACTAAATAGGGGAAAACCTAGCTAATCGGGGAGGTCGGGCGAGAATGGCTCGAAAGGGTTGCGATTGGCACGGAGGCGACTCGGGAGTGGTTCGGTTGCGGAAATGTAGGCCGAACGTGAGGTTCGCGTTACCCTCGGGATGGACTCGCTAACGAGTGCTGCAGTAAGGATTTTTAAATCCTTACAAGAATGTTTGTGGAACCCAACAAAGTTCCAACTGTACTGTTCACTCCAGTTCGCGGTGCAGCTTGTGGAGGCCACACCCAGACCACACCTCACTTGTTCCCGCAACACACGCGAAACAGATTTCGGCGGCCAATAGACAACAGATGTACCGTGTACAGTTTCATCTCCATGAGGTGTATCCGTTGTGGCTTTCTCCACCGTTTCATCTGGGCTTCCTCCACACCACCACCATGCTGTCTCCATGCCTGGTCCACGCTTCTCTCTCGAGATTCCGTTGCAGAATCCCCTCACACTCTTCCCGCCGTTATCCGTTCTTCCCCTTCACCTGTGCCTTGCCCGGGGTGAGCGAGCAGGCTGGATAATGAAGTAGGGGAGATGACAAGCCGACACGTTACCGTAATCTGGTTTCGAGATGTGGATCACCGGGTGCAGCTTTTCATGGCCGGTGACAAGGCACAGCGACTGCTGGCTGTGTGCTGGGTGCTACAGCAGCACACAGCCTCCGTATGGTGACCGCCTGTATGTCTATGGAGCATCTTCATTTCTTTGAGTGATGGGTTGAGTGGTTTTGCTTCTTATCTTGGGAACGGGCTGACTTCGCTGATAAAGCTTGAGCCAGTCTAAGTCAGTCTCGTGTCCTCCTCCTCCTGCGATCGACTTCCCGCTTTACGGTTTCTGCATCTGGTCACCCTGACCGCCTAGTGATCGCACTTCGGAAACATTGTCGTCCTTTTTTCTGATAGCCACTCTCCACAGACGAGTGGAACGTATTATCAGCTACCACATTTCCCTTTTCATAAACGCACGTGTGACTATCAAGATGGCTGCTTGGAAGAGATACCTGATCACGTTCCTGCTGTTCGCATTATTCGCAACAGTCGTACTTGCGTCAGAGGACGAAGATACAAGTTCGGTAAGTAATCGCATTTGTACTTTCCAGTAAGCTCGTGAAACATACCCTTGTTTGTGATCAATCCAAATGTACTTTAGCCAAACAACGCAGATCTTTTCTCGCTCACACACGCATTTCTTTTAGCTGACAATGCATCCATCCCCGTCCCGGCGCTATTTATTGTTTCAGGGATCAACGGACTCGACACAAACCTTGAACGCAAACAAGGCGGGAGCCATTTTCGTTTTCTTCGCGTGCAGCTTTCTCGGCGTATGGCTTCCCTACTTCATTCCGGTCCACCAGCTCATTCTCAAGTTTGGAATTCTCTTCTCGACCGGTCTCTTCATCGGCATGTCTCTCCTCTATCTCGCAGTGGAGACATTCGAGGAGATGGAAGAGCTCGCTGGAAAGGGTAAGCCACACCTTCTTTCTCACTCGCTCGCTCTCACACAACTCGCTCGCATCCCTAAGCTTCATCTGTCATCAAGTGCCGTAGATTTGCGGCAGATGAAATCCTGCTAACCCTGCTTCTGTGTGTGTGTTGACAGATTACCCGTACGGAATGCTGGTCATTGTGATGGGTATCTACCTCACATGGCTCTGTGACCTCATTGTGAAGACGATCTGGCGGAAACGATCTGGCTCCTTCGAAGATAAGGTGCGTATCAATTGCTAAACACAGTAAGCCAAATGCTGTCCAATATGGATACAAAACCTTCAAATGAATACAACACGAACAATTATTACGAGCTTTCCTGAAAGAGTGTCACTGACAATATGTCGCCTCTGCCATATTTCTCAGGAAGAGGAACTGGGTCCAACAGTTGCTGGCGCCATGGGTGCTGGCCAGACCAAGGTGGTCGACGCAGACTCAGAGAATCAGAAGCAAATCGACGTCCAGGCGCTTTCCATTGTTGATGTCATCGTCGTGCTCTTCGCCCTCTGCTTCCACGCCTTCTTCGAGGGCATGGCTGTCGGCCTCGCGTCTACTGTTCAAAGAGTCTGGAGCATGACTGCTCAGATTAGCGTCAATGAGGTAATTACCTCGTGACATGAAATTATCCAAGCTTCTGCGCCTGAAAGAAGGATGATTTGCCTTCCTTTATGTTCTCCCCTTGTCTAGAATGTAACAGAAAGTTCCTTGCGTGTTGTTTCACATGTTTGCAGTTTTTCGAGGGCATGGCACTTGGGGTGACCCTCCGCGTTCAAGACACGTCCCGCTCATGGCTCAACCACCTGCTCTTCGCCATTGGAGCTTCCATCGTCGCTCCCACTGGAATCGCCATTGGCCTCGCGGTCGACTCAGCAAGCAGCAAGGAGGCTCGCAACTGGGTGAAAGCCTTTGGGAACGGCATGGCTGCCGGAGTGTTTATATTTATCGCTCTTGGTCATTTGCTGGCCAAGGGCATGAAGCCAGGAGCCAATGATAGGTGGTGGATGGTGTTTGTTAAGTGGTTTGTGGCGGGCCTTGGTCTCATGACCAATGCACTTCTCCAGCTCTGGCAAGAGAGCTGAAAATAGCAGCTCTCAGCAAGTGCTAGACTAGTTGATCATTTAGGAATTGTATAATGAGCTTCCCAACTCAATTACAGTATCACAACAAACGGTGGCAATGGGACCATCCAAGAAAATGTAATGCAGGGGAGCTATATTCATATCTACAAGAGCAATGTGGGATCCTGTTTATACAGTTCACTTCAGGTACATACCGGTAAACCAAACCCAGGAATTAGATATAAAAAAATGGGCCCTTTCCACTTTGAGTAAGGTTGACCCTCTGGATACCACCTCTTATTGGAAAGTCCTACAGTAGGGTATGGAAAATTGCTAAAACCAGTATACGGTATGGTAAATTGCTAACACCAGTATACCGTATTGTCAATGTCCACGCACCATGACAGCCCATCTGAGCATGAGTAAATACTGCTAACTATTATTAACATATACAAGCAGCAGCGGAGGAACTTGCTCTTGCTGCTCAGTTTTGCTCCCATAGCCTCTTCTCTCCTGTCAGACAAAACGGAGCATGGGAAAGTGTTGCCTAATTGCCTGCACTCATAGCTATGGGCATGTCCACTCCCTAGGGAGTTGAGCACAGGGCTAATTTTTGGTTTTCAGCAACCCTTGTGATCAGTGTTGCACAAGTCCAAAAACCTGATTATCAGTGTGACACCTTGTTTAAACCCTGATCCATCAGGGTTTTCCTAGTTTTTGAAAATTATACCCTGCAGGATCAGTGTACCAGTTTTGCAAACCCTGGTGTATTGATATTATCGTTGGCAGGCAGGCAATAACGAAACTGTATTTCTGGCTAATGGAGGCCCCCCTCGTGCCAGCTCAGATATTGCCTTTGCCAAATTTCAGTTTCGACAGTTGGCACGCGAGAACCCCGGCCCGGGTTACGGAAAGGGGGGGTGGGGTAGAGGGGGGGGGGGGGGGGGGCTTGGGGAGGGTATGTACTCGATTCAGGGTAAAACTCGTTACGAAGATCGGTAACCCTGGGCCGTCAGTGTACCTTAAACGCAAACCCTGGCCTATCAGGAAAATACAAGCTCCTGAAAAAATTACCCTAAGGCATCAGTGTGACAGCCAAAAACCACCCTGATTATCAGGGTATCAGGGTGATTTACCCTGATAAAATTAGCCCTGGTTGAGCACTTCATCTGGGAACCTAAGGAGTTGAGCACTTCATCTGGGAACCTAGGGAGTTGAGCACTTCATCTGGGAACCTAGGGAGTTGAGCACTTCATCTGGGAACCTAGGGAGTTGAGCACTTCATCTGGGAACCTAGGGAGTTGAGCACTTCATCTGGGAACCTAGGGAGTTGAGCACTTCATCTGGGAACCTAGGGAGTTGAGCACTTCATCTGGGAACCAAGGGAGTTGAGCACTTCATCTGGGAACCTAGGGAGTTGAGCACTTCATCTGGGAACCTAGGGAGTTGAGCACTTCATCTGGGAACCTAGGGAGTTGAGCACTTCATCTGGGAACCTAGGGAGTTGAGCACTTCATCTGGGAACCTAGGGAGTTGAGCACTTCATCTGGGAACCTAGGGAGTTGAGCACTTCATCTGGGAACCTAGGGAGTTGAGCACTTCATCTGGGAACCTAGGGAGTTGAGCACTTCATCTGGGAACCTAGGGAGTTGAGCACTTCATCTGGGAACCTAGGGAGTTGAGCACTTCATCTGGGAACCTAGGGAGTTGAGCACTTCATCTGGGAACCAAGGGAGTTGAGCACTTCATCTGGGAACCTAGGGAGTTGAGCACTTCATCTGGGAACCTAGGGAGTTGAGCACTTCATCTGGGAACCTAGGGAGTTGAGCACTTCATCTGGGAACCTAGGGAGTTGAGCACTTCATCTGGGAACCTAGGGAGTTGAGCACTTCATCTGGGAACCTAGGGAGTTGAGCACTTCATCTGGGAACCTAGGGAGTTGAGCACTTCATCTGGGAACCTAGGGAGTTGAGCACTTCATCTGGGAACCTAGGGAGTTGAGCACTTCATCTGGGAACCTAGGGAGTTGAGCACTTCATCTGGGAACCTAGGGAGTTGAGCACTTCATCTGGGAACCAAGGGAGTTGAGCACTTCATCTGGGAACCTAGGGAGTTGAGCACTTCATCTGGGAACCTAGGGAGTTGAGCACTTCATCTGGGAACCTAGGGAGTTGAGCACTTCATCTGGGAACCTAGGGAGTTGAGCACTTCATCTGAAAACCTAGGGAGTTGAGCACTTCATCTGGGAACCTAGGGAGTTGAGCACTTCATCTGGGAACCTAGGGAGTTGAGCACTTCATCTGGGAACCTAGGGAGTTGAGCACTTCATCTGGGAACCTAGGGAGTTGAGCACTTCATCTGGGAACCTAGGGAGTTGAGCACTTCATCTGGGAACCTAGGGAGTTGAGCACTTCATCTGGGAACCTAGGGAGTTGAGCACTTCATCTGGGAACCTAGGGAGTTGAGCACTTTCAGGGGTAGGAAAAAGTGATGATGTGGGCACCATGCACGTCATACAGCTGATGCAAGACACAACGGCTCGTGGAACAATAACTTACACAAAGCTTGGGCTCATGCAAGGAAATGAATGTGCCCAAAACAGGAGCTAGAGGAAAACATGTGCAAAAACAGAACTACAGAAAGCGTGTGCCCAAAACAGGGGCTAGAGAAAGCGTGTGCCCAAAACAGGGGCCAGAGAAAACTAGTGCCCAAAACACGGGCTAGAGAAAGCATGGGCCCAAAACAGGGGCTAGTAGAGAAAGCTTGTGCCCAAAACAGGGGCTAGAGAAAACTAGTGCCCAAAACAGGGGCTAGAGAAAGCATGTGCCCTAAACAGTGGCTAGTAGAGAAATCGTGTGCCCTAAACTGGGGCTAGAGAAAAGAAGTGCCCAAAATAGGGGCTAGAGAAAGCATGTGCCCAAAACAGGGGCTAGAGAAAGCATGTGCCCAAAACAGGGTTAGAGAAAGCATGTGCCCAAAACAGGGGCTACTAAAGAAAGCGTGTGCCCTAAACAGGGGCTAGAGAAAGCATGTGCCCAAAACAGGGGCTAGTAGAGAAAGCGTGTGCCCTAAACAGGGGCTAGAGAAAGAGTGTGCCCAAAAGGGGCTAGAGAAAGCATGTGCCCAAAACAGGGGCTAGCAGAGAAAGCGTGTGCCCTAAACAGGGGCTAGAGAAAACAAGTGCCCAAAACAGGGGCTAGAGAAAGCATGTGCCCAAAACAGGGGCTAGTAGAGAAAGCGTGTGCCCAAAACAGGGGCTAGTAGAGAACGTGTGCCCAAAACAGGGGCTAGAGAAAACATGTGCCCTAAACAGGGGCTAGAGAAAACATGTCCCCAAAACAGGGGCTAGAGAAAGCGTGTGCCCTAAACAGGGGCTAGAGAATGCATGTGCCCAGAACAGGGGCTAGTAGAGAAAGCGTGTGCCCTAAACATGGGTTAGAGAAAACTAGTGCCCAAAACAGGGGCTAGACAAATCGTGTGTCCAAACAGGGGCTAGTAGAGAAAGCGTGTGCCCTAAACAGGGGCTAGAAAAAAAAAGTGCTTAAAACAGGGGCTAGAGAAAGCATGTGCCCAAAACAGGGGCTAGAGAAAACATGTCCCCAAAACAGGGGCTAGAGAAAGCGTGTGCCCTAAACAGGGGCTAGAGAATGCATGTGCCCAGAACAGGGGCTAGTAGAGAAAGCGTGTGCCCTAAACATGGGCTAGAGAAAACTAGTGCCCAAAACAGGGGCTAGACAAATCGTGTGTCCAAACAGGGGCTAGTAGAGAAAGCGTGTGCCCTAAACAGGGGCTAGAAAAAAAAAGTGCTTAAAACAGGGGCTAGAGAAAGCATGTGCCAGGGGTTGCCCTAAACAGGGGCTAGAGAAAATTAGTGCCCAAAACAGGGGCTGGAGAAAACAAGTGCCCAAAACAGGGGCTAGAGAAAGCATGTGCCCAAAACAGGGGCTAGTAGAGAAAGCGTGTGCCCAAAACAGGGGCTAGAGAAAGAGTGTGCCCAAAAGGGGCTAGAGAAAGCATGTGCCAAAACAGGGGCTAGTAGAGAAAGTGTGTGCCCTAAACAGGGGCTAGTAGAGGAAGCGTGTGCCCTAAACAGGGGGTAGAGAAAGCGTGTGCCCAAAACAGGGGCTAGTAGAGAAAGCGTGTGCCCAAAACAGGGGCTAGAGAAAGCATGTGCCAAAAACAGGGGCTAGAGAAAGCGTGTGCCCAAAACAGGGGCTAGTAGAGAAAGTGTGTGCCCGAAACAGGGGCTAGAGAAAGCATGTGCCCAAAACAGGGGCTAGAGAAAGCGTGTGCCCTAAACAGGGGCTAGAGAAAACAAGTGCCCAAAACAGGGGCTAGAGAAAGCGTGTGCCCTAAACAGGGGCTAGAGAAAACTAGTGCCCAAAACAGGGGCTAGAGAAAGCATGTGCCCAAAACAGGGGCTAGAGAAAGCATGTGCCAGGGGTTGCCCTAAACAGGGGCTAGAGAAAATTAGTGCCCAAAACAGGGGCTGGAGAAAACAAGTGCCCAAAACAGGGGCTAGAGAAAGCATGTGCCCAAAACAGGGGCTAGTAGAGAAAGCGTGTGCCCAAAACAGGGGCTAGAGAAAGAGTGTGCCCAAAAGGGGCTAGAGAAAGCATGTGCCAAAACAGGGGCTAGTAGAGAAAGTGTGTGCCCTAAACAGGGGCTAGTAGAGGAAGCGTGTGCCCTAAACAGGGGGTAGAGAAAGCGTGTGCCCAAAACAGGGGCTAGTAGAGAAAGCGTGTGCCCAAAACAGGGGCTAGAGAAAGCATGTGCCAAAAACAGGGGCTAGAGAAAGCGTGTGCCCAAAACAGGGGCTAGTAGAGAAAGTGTGTGCCCGAAACAGGGGCTAGAGAAAGCATGTGCCCAAAACAGGGGCTAGAGAAAGCGTGTGCCCTAAACAGGGGCTAGAGAAAACAAGTGCCCAAAACAGGGGCTAGAGAAAGCGTGTGCCCTAAACAGGGGCTAGAGAAAACTAGTGCCCAAAACAGGGGCTAGAGAAAGCATGTGCCCAAAACAGGGGCTAGTAGAGAAAGCGTGTGCCCAAAACAGGGGCTAGAGAAAGAGTGTGCCCAAAAGGGGCTAGAGAAAGCATGTGCCAAAACAGGGGCTAGTAGAGAAAGCGTGTGCCCTAAACAGGGGCTAGTAGAGGAAGCGTGTGCCCTAAACAGGGGGTAGAGAAAGCATGTGGCCAAAACAGGGGCTAGTAGAGAAAGCGTGTGCCCCAAAACAGGGGCTAGAGAAAGCATGTGCCAAAAACAGGGGCTAGAGAAAGCGTGTGCCCAAAACAGGGGCTAGTAGAGAAAGTGTGTGCCCAAAACAGGGGCTAGGGAAAGCATGTGCCCAAAACAGGGGCTAGAGAAAGCGTGTGCCCTAAACAGGGGCTAGAGAAAACAAGTGCCCAAAACAGGGGCTAGAGAAAGCGTGTGCCCTAAACAGGGGCTAGCGAAAACTAGTCCCAAAACAGGGGCTAGAGAAAGCATGTGCCCAAAACAGGGTCTAGAAGAGAAAGCATATGCCCAAAACAGGGGCTAGTAGAGAAAGAGTGTGCCCAAAACAGGGGCTAGAGAAAGCATGTGCCCAAAACAGGGGCTAGAGAAAGCGTGTGCCCAAAACAGGGGCTAGAGAAAGCCTGTGCCCAAAACAGGGGCTAGTAGAGAAAGCGTGTGCCTTAAACAGGGGCTAGAGAAAACAAGTGCCCAAAACAGGGGCTAGAGAAAGCATGTGCCCAAAACAGGGGCTAGTAGAGAAAGCGTGTGCCTTAAACAGGGGCTAGAGAAAACAAGTGCCCAAAACAGGGGCTAGAGAAAGCATGTGCCCAAAACAGGGGCTAGAGAAAGCATGTGCCCAGAACAGGGGCTAGTAGAGAAAGCGTGTGCCCTAAACATGGGCTAGAGAAAACCAGTGCCCAAAACAGGGGCTAGAGAAAGCATGTGCCCAAAACAGGGGCTAGAGAAAGCGTGTGCCCAAAACAGGGGCTAGAGAAAGCATGTGCCCAAAACAGGGGCTAGTAGAGAAAGCGTGTGCCTTAAACAGGGGCTAGAGAAAACAAGTGCCCAAAACAGGGGCTAGAGAAAGCATGTGCCCAAAACAGGGGCTAGTAGAGAAAGCGTGAGCCTTAAACAGGGGCTAGAGAAAATAAGTGCCCAAAACAGGGGCTAGAGAAAGCATGTGCCCAAAACAGGGGCTAGAGAAAGCATGTGCCCAGAACAGGGGCTAGTAGAGAAAGCGTGTGCCCTAAACATGGGCTAGAGAAAACGTTTGCCCAAAACAGGGGCTAGAGAAAACGTTTGCCCAAATCAGGGGCTAGAGAAATCGTGTGTCCAAACAGGGGCTAGTAGAGAAAGCGTGTGCCCTAAACAGGGGCTAGAAAAAATAAGTGCCCAAAACAGGGGCTAGAGAAAGCATGTGCCAGGTGCTAGTAGAGAATGGGGTTGCCCTAAACAGGGGCTAGAGAAAATTAGTGCCCAAAACAGGGGCTGGAGAAAGCATGTGCCCAAAACAGGGGCTAGTAGAGAATGCGTGTGACCAAAACAAAGTATGTGGCCAAAATAGGCGCTACAGAAAGCATGTGCTCAATACAGGGGCAGGGAAACAGACTGTTCTCACTGTGCCCGAAACCCTTGAATGTCCTTCGGTCAACCGCTGCTGCCACGGCGCTGCTCCCTCCACAGTTGTCCCTCACACCTGCAGGTGGAGAATGAGTGGTGCTGGAGGCGAGGCGCAAGACAAGTGAAAGAAAAGAAAAGCTAGAGCGAGAAACGCAAGAGCACGAGAAGCGTAGGGACATGTGAAGGGAATCTAGCAAGGTGGTGAACGGCAGCACAGACATAGACGTAGAATGATGGCAGAAGCGAATAACAGCAAGCAAGACTTACGATGAGACCTCGTCCCTCTCTGGCCTGTAGTCTCTCTTGCCTGTCTAGACTGGTGCTGTTGCTGTAGGAGGGGAGCAGAACATGACAGAACATGGAAGATCCAAGAAAGGAGGGAGTGTAAGGGGTGGAGGCGGATGTAGAGCGGTGCAAATGGATGGAAACAGCAATACGAGAAAATAAGGAGATATGCGTGAAGCGCCATGAAGAGTGGAAGGATCAGAGCGCAGGAGAAGTGGGAAAGGAGGGCAAAAGGAAACTCACCACAAGGGCTCACATGGTCGGTCCTGCTCATACTCCCTTGAAAGCTGCTCCCATGCTGGCCTCCTGGAAAGGCAGGGGAGAAGGAGTTAAGGAGGCGAACGAAGGAAAACGAATAGGAGCAAAGAAACATTGTCAAAACTGGAGTTAAAGCGTGAGAAGTGAAAGGGAAAACGAAACAGGGTCTTATTTGTTTTGTACCTTCCTGTTGCCATCATCGTTGCACCACAGCCCTCAACTCGAATTCCTCTGCCCTCTTGGGTTATCTCTGCTCTCTGGGATGGGAGGGGCAGAGGGAGGGGAGATGCAGAGAGGGGAGGCACAAGTGGAAAGAGGAAGGTCGAGGAAGTGAATAGGCGATTGACAGGCACAAGGCGACAGAAACAGAAGGAACTTGAGGCACAAAGAAACAGAAGGCGTGAGTGTGAAACGAGAGGCACAAGGAAACAGAAGGAAGGAACGACAGAAGAAAGGAGCAGAAACAGGGTCATATTTGTTTTGTACCTTCCTGTTGCCATCCATCACCGCTGCACCACAGCCCTCAAATTCATTGCCTCTGCTCTCTTGGGTTGTCTCTGCTCTCTTGGGATGGGAGGGGCAGAGGGAGGGGAGATGCAGACAGGGGAGGCACAAGTGGAAGAGGCAGGTCGAGGAAGTGAGTAGGCGAATGAGAGGCACAAGGCGACGGAGAGGCGACGGAGAGGCGACGGAGTGCGTGAGTGTGAAACGAGAGGCACAAGGAAACAGAAGGAAGGAACGAATGACTAGGTGTGGAATACCGCCCTTGGATTGTCGCTCTTGGGGTGTCAATCCTGTCGTGCAGCACCCCTCCCAGCAGCACCCCTCCCAGCAGCACCCCTCCCAGCAGCACCACTCGAGCTCGTTCTGCGCGTGAAGGAGTGGCGGGTGAGGGAGTGGCGTGGTCATGCAGGGCCGTGCGTCATCCCACCGCCCTCCCTCCTCGGCGAGGCACATGACTAGAAATCGGCCTCTTTACCCTTGGGCTACTTGGATGGGAGGGGTAGAGGGAGGGGAGGCGCAAAGACGGGAAGGGCGGCACAAGTGGAGGAGGGTGAGAGAGGGAGTGAGTACGCAAATCAGAGGCACAACGCGGCAGCAAGGAGAGACGAATGCGTGAGTGTGAAACGAGAGGCACAAAGAACAAGTGAACAAGTGATTGTGGAAAACCGCCCTTGGGTTGTCACTCTTCGATCGTCGCGCATCCACCTTGCAGTTGGGGGTGTGTTGGCAGCGGCTCTTGGCGGGTGGAGTTGCAATGATTCCTCTTGACTGTGTTGCAGGAGCGGGAGGGCACCTCACATCACACTGCAGCAACACCATATGCCTCCTCTAATTCTGTTGCCGCTGGTGTTGCTTCCGCTGTCGTGATTTGCCTCTGCTGTCGTGGGTTGCCTCTGCTCCGTTGGGTTGCACTGCTCCTTTAGGCTAATGGGATGAGAGGGGCAGAGGGCGGGGATGCGCGCAGAGGGGAAGCACAAGCGGAAGAGGCAGGGACAGGGAATAAGTAGGCGAATGAGTCACACAAAGTGGCAGCAACGAAAGAGGAATGCGTGAGTGCGAAACGAGAGGAACGAGGCAGCAGCAAGGAGGGATGAACGAGTGGTTGTGGAATACCGCCCTTGGATTGTCGTCACCCTCTCTTGGGGTGTCCATCTTGGGGTGTCCATCTTGGGGTGCAGCTCTCCTTGTACCATCTTGGTGTGCAGCTCTCCTTGTACCATCTTGGTGTGCAGCTCTCCTTGTACCATCTTGGTGTGCAGCTCTCCTTGTACCATCTTGGTGTGCAGCTCTCCTTGTACCATCTTGGTGTGCAGCTCTCCTTGTACCATCTTGGGGTGCAGCTCTCCTTGTACCATCTTGGTGTGCAGCTCTCCTTGTATCATTTTGCAGGGTGTGTCGGCAACGAGAGCTACTGACAGCTTGAGGAGGAGGAGGAGGACGGCGGGCGGGCGGCACTCCCATCGTGATCCCCGTGATCCCCGCAGCAGAGGGACTCCCGTCGGCGACAGTCGTTTCAACAGCAGATGGACTCACGTCGGTGCCATTTGAGCTCGTTTGGCGCGTCATCCCACCGCCCTCCCTCTGCTTTGGCCTGGGACAAGGCAATGGTTGGAGAAAGAAAGGCAGAGAAGAAGGAAATAAAAAATCCGGACCAGTAGAAGCAAGCATTGGAACAAGGAACAAGGAACAACGGAACCAAGCCAGAGAAAGGCATGAGAACGAGAATCTCTTCTGTGAGATACAGAAGAGAAACCAGCAAACAGAACAACAACACGAAAGGCGATGGTAGCACACGACACCAGGGCGGCGAGCTAGCACGCAAGGGGGACTTGGGGTAAGGAAGGGACGCGGCCATGAGTATGAATGCATTCTATTCTACCCTCCTACGACTCTAGTGTGAGCTCAAGCCGCCCCAGTGCCATGCACTACCATCGCCATGCGGAATCGACGTTTTGGTTATGAGCGAGCACTCAGAAAACAAAGCGTTAAGAAGATGAACCAAAGACAGAAAGCGAGAAGTATGGCAAGGGGGTGGGTAAGGGGGTTAAGAGGGGACTTAGCAGCGGTACGACGGGTCGATCGATGGAAGAAGCAGCAGTCGCTCCGAGCAGCAGAGCGACTCCCATCATGAACGGCCCTCCCAGCAGCAGCGCCAGTCGAGCTTGGTCGGCGCGTGATGGAGTCGCATGGTCAGCAGGGCATGCAGGAGGCAGGCCGTGCGTCATCCCATCGCCCTCCCTCCTTCTCTGGGACAAGGAAATGGGTTGCAGAGAGAAAAAAGAGGGGAAGGAAATTAAGAATCTGGTCCAGTGGAAGCAAGCATTGGAACAAATAATAACGGAACGAGGGCAGGGACAGGTATGAAAACGAGAATTCATTTTTACCGAATAAAAACAAACAGAACAACAACACGAAAGGCGATGGTAGCACACGACACCAGGGCAGCGAGCTAGCATGCGAGGGTGGACTAGGGGTAAGGAAGAGACGCGAGCATGGGTATGAATGCATTCTATTCTACCCTCCTACGACTCTCGCCCCAGTGCCATGCACTACCATCGCCATGCGGAATCGACGTTTTGGTTACGAGCGAGCACTCAGAAAACAAAGCGTAAAGAAGTTGAACCAAAGACAGAAAGCGTGAAGTATGGCAAGGGGGTGGGTAAGGGGGTTAAGAGGGGACTTAGCAGCGGTACGACGGGTCGATCGACGGAAGCAGCAGCAGTCGATCCGAGCAGCAGTGCGAATCCCATCATGAACGGCCCTCCCAGCAGCAGCCCTCCCAGGAGCAGAGCCAGTTGAGCTCGTCTGGCGCGTGAAGGAGTCGCGAGGTCAGCAGGGCAGGAGGCAGGCCGTGCGTCATCCCATCGCCCTCCCTCCTTCTCTGGGACAAGGAAATGAGTTGCAGAGAGAAAGAAAGGGGAAGGGAATAAAGAATCTGGTCAAATAATAACGGAACGAGAGCAGAGACAAGTATGAAAACGAGAATTCTTTTTTACCGAATAAAAACAAACAGAACAACAACACGAAAAGCGATGGTAGCACACGACACTAGGGCAGCGAGCTAGCACGCAAGGGGGACTTGGGGTAAGGAAGGGACGCGGGCATGGGTATGAATGCATTCTACCCTCGTAGCGAGGTCAGCAGGGCAGGAGGCAGGCCGTGCGTCATCCCATCGCCCTCCCTCCTTCTCTGGGACAAGGAAATGGGTTGCAGAGAGAAAAAAGAGGGGAAGGAAATAAAGAATCTGGTCCAATGAAAGCAAGCATTGGAACAAATAATAACGGAACGAGGGCAGAGACAAGCATGAAAACGATAATTCATTTTTACCGAATAAAAACAAACAGAACAAGAACACGAAAGGCGATGGTAGCACACGACACCAGGGCGGCGAGCTAGCACGCAAGGGGGACTTGGGGTAAGGAAGGGACGCGGGCATGAGTATGAATGCATTCTATTCTACCTTCCTACGACTTTAGTATGAACTCAAGCCGCCCCAGTGCCATGCACTACCATCGCCACGCGAAATCGACGTTTTGGTTTCGAGCATGTGCCGAGAAAGCAAAGCGACAATAAAATGAATCAAAAACAGAAAGCGATACGGATGGCAAGGGAGCGAGTAAGAGGGTTCAGCATGAGGGGTGGTTGAGCGACAGGATGCATCGCCGTCGCCTCCGCCTCCGCCTTCGCATTCGCCTCCGCCTTCGCCTCGCATTCGCATTCGCCTCCGCCTTCTGCGCTCATGCTCTGCGCTGCTCCCCATGCCCTGCGCTGCTCCCCATGTTCTGCGCTGCTCCCCATGTTCTGCGCTGCTCCCCATGTTCTGCGCTGCTCCCCATGCCCTGCGCTGCTCCCCATGCCCTGCGCTGCTCCCCATGTTCTGCGCTGCTCCCCATGCCCTGCGCTGCTCCCCATGTTCTGCGCTGCTCCACATGTTCTGCGCTGCTCCCCATGTTCTGCGCTGCTCCCCATGTTCTGCGCTCCACCGTCCCATGTTGGTGACCAATCGCCTCCGCATTCGCCTTCCGCCTTCTGCGCTCATGCTCTGCGCTGCTCCCCATGCCCTGCGCTGCTCCACATGTTCTGAGCTGCTCCCCATGTTCTGCGCTGCTCCCCATGTTCTGCGCTCCACCGTCCCATGTTGGTGACCAATCGCCTCCGCATTCGCCTTCCGGTCAACAGGCGCCGTCGTCAGCGTCAGCCGTCCCCGTCAGAACTCGCCACCTTCGAAACCTTCCGTCGCGATCGTCAGCATCAGCCATACGACGGCGACTGAATCGTCTGCATCAACGCCATACGACGGCGACTGAATCGTCTGCATCAACGCCATACGACGGCGACTGGATCGTCTGCATCAACGCCATACGACGGCGACTGAATCGTCTGCATCAACGCCATATGACGGCGACTGGATCGTCTGCATCAACGCCATATGACGGCGACTGGATCGTCTGCATCAACGCCATATGACGGCGACTGAATCGTCTGCCGCAACGCCATACGACGGCGACTGAATCGTCTGCATCAACGCCATATGACGGCGACTGGATCGTCTGCATCAACGCCATATGACGACACGTCGACCATCAGCATGAACGACAAGTCGCAGTCGTCAGCCTTCCACGATTCCGCCGTGATCGTCGACGTCAGAACTCGCTGTCTCAATCGCCGTCTTGATCATTACTAATGATCCTGTCACCGCCGTCTCAGTCGCTGTCACTCGCCGTCTTGATCCTTTAGTCGCCGTCTTGGCCGC